CAGCACCCAAAAAAAAAAAAAAAAGGGAATCCCAGCTAAACACGAAAACATAAAACAAAAATCCAGCTCAACACCAAAAAACAGAGAAAAAGAAAATCCCCAGCTCGGGTCCAAAAAATTGACCCAAAAAAACAGGAGAAGCCCAGCCAAAAAAAAAGAAAAAAAAAAAAGCTCAGCAGCCAAAAAAGAAGAAGGAAAAAGCATAGCTCAGCGCAGATACGTGTTGACGACCGTCGCTCGCTGATCGAGTCACCTGATTACCATCTTCCTCCCGAAAATAACGCACCCTGATCACGTGTATACAAGCTAGCTTTCCGGTCCGATACAGTCAAGATCGGGGGACACAACGCACCCTGATAACGTGTATACAAGCTAGCTTTCCGGTCCGATACAGTCAAGATGGAAGGACATAACGCACCCTGATAATGTGTAAACAAGCTAGCTTTCCGGTCCGATACAGCCAACATGGAGGGCCATAACGCACCCTCATAATGTGTATCCAAGCTAGCTTTCCGCTCCGATACAGTCAAGATGGGGGGACATAACGCACCCTGATAACGTGTACACAAGCTATACAGTCAAGATGCATACAAGTTAGCTATCCGGTCCGATACACTCAAGATGGGGGGACATAACGCTCCCTGACAACGTGTATACAAGCTAGTTTTCCGATCCGATACAGTCAGGATGGGGGGACATAACCCACCCTCATAATGTGGTATACAAGCTAGCTTCACGGTCCGATGCAGTCAAGATGGGGGTGCGTTATACTCGGGAGAAGAGGGTAGACAGCAGGGCTTACCATCCATTGTCATCGTCGTGGTAGTCGTAGTCATCATCATAGGGGTCGTACCTGAGCATATCCACGACCCTCCGCGCCTCCGGACTCCACGGACTGACGCCCTGGCAGACCAAATCATCGATCTCATCGTTAGTAAACCCGTGTGCTCTGCCATACGTGTAATAGCTATTAAACAACGGCAAGCCCTCATAAAACCCATCACCTTTTTTGCTCTTCTCGGCATCTTCCTTCCTAGTGCCTTTTTGCCCATCTCTCCTCCCTCCCGTCTCCTCATCTTCCCTCCCTTTCTTCTCTTTGCGTCTCTCTTCCCACCCTTTCTCATTCTTCCCGTTTTTTTGCTTATCCCCCTTATCATCACATTCTTTCTTGGTATTACGTTTATCGCTCTCCTTTCCACACACACTCACTCCCTCCTCTCCGTCCTCTCTCTTCTTTCCCTCCTCTCCCTCCTCTCTCTTCTTTCCCTCCTCTTCATCTCTCTCTTCTCCTTCCTCTTCTTCGTCTCTCTCTTCTCCTTCCTCGCCCGACTCGGAATCCTCGTCTTCGTCCGAGTCCATACTCCCACTAAAACCGAAAAAACTCACACCAACAAACGACGGTCCGTACTCGTCGTCGTCATCGGAATAGTCTTCCTCCTCCTCCTCCCAAGGGGGCCGACAACCCATGCTGAGAGCGCCGAGAACGGCCATAGCCATGGGATCCCAAGGCTTCACTCCCTGACCAAGCAACTCCTCCAGATCAGATTCAGTGAATCCACAGCAGTTAGCGGCGCTCTCGTCCTGTGATTCATCGATCCAATCGTCGGCATACTTGACTTTACCAGACGACACCCCCTTCTTTCCCCGACCCTTTCGTTGCTGCTGCTGCTCCTGCTCCTGCTGCTGCCTCTGCTGCTGCTCTTTATGGTATTCTTCCGCTACTGCCTTGTTGCACAAATTCTTATGTCCCATCTGCCAGTCCGTCTTCTGACACTCTTTCCCGCAATAGCGCACACGTCTGCAGCCGCCGCACACGTGCAGCTTGGAGACAGTGCCGTCGCCCATTCCGCACACATTGCAGCAAACCACTAGTGCATTGCGCGATTGGCCATTGCTGGACGGGGTAGCAGACGTTGCCACGTCGCTGCTGCGGGAACAGGTCGACCTGGCTAACGACACAATCAAACCTACCGTCTTGCTACCTACCTCGACGTCACCGAAATATGCAACGATGCCTCTGCCGAACTGACACGTGGCGGCGGGGCACATGGCCAGGTCAACTTCGTCGGCCTTCCGCCCGGCATCGTTCATCAGAGATTCCTTTCCCGACCGATACGATCCTCCGGGTTCACTTTTCCGCTGCTGCCCTTTCCCCCCTCGCCGGGAATCACGATCAGGTTCGGACGGTTTCGGTGAGTACACGCGCTGCTGCGGAGGAACCTTGGACAACATGAACGCCTTCACACTGTAAGATCTCGGCGCCTTGGCGATGAAATCGCAATCCCGACCCAGCCATGGCAAGCTGCCCTCCACGAACTGATGCTCTAGTCGACGGAAAAAATACCCTTCAAATTCCCAAGTACGCTGGAAGCAATCGGTCAGCAGTCGAGTCAATCCCCTCCCTTCACCGGCCGAGAACATCAGGACCCCGCCGGACCTGACCCAGTCAGTCAGAGCGGATTTCCACGTGGCATTTGAGAAAAACTCCCCGTCCTCTGATTGGATCGACAGCACAATACACAAAGAATAGGCCCATGGTGGATAGGCCTCAGAGTGGGCGTCACCACCATTCTTGTCGTGCTTATCAACCCCCATTGGTCGCTGCAGCCGTGCCGCCGCATCGACCGGCTGGAACGTCGTACAGTCCACCAACCAGCCATCGGCGCGCAGCGCCATCAAAACCCCCCTCTCCTCCTTCATCATCTTCTTCCATCGATCGTACCCTTCGGATGAGACGAGATACGGACTCGCAAGAGCCAACGCCCGCCCCCTGATTTTCGTCCCAGACTCCTTCTTGCCCGCCTTTGCATTCATCGGGGTTGCCGTTGTCGTTGCCCTCGTCGTTGACCTCGTCGTTGACTCAGACTGTCCACCACTAACATCCATTCCTTTGTCGGAAGACGGAGCCGCCCCTGCATCGGGGAAAGCAGTAGAACACGTGGCAGTTGTTGACGACTTGGCAGCAGACGCAGACGCCCTCTTGGCAGCAGATGCCGTGGCAGCAGCTGATGAAGCAGCAGATGATGACGTGGCAGCAAATGGATTAGCAGCAAATCGCTTGGTAGCAAATGGATTGGCAGCAGATGACGTGGCATAAGACGACGTGGCAGCAGATGAAGTGGCAGCAAATGGCTTGGTAGCAAATGGACTGGCAGCAGATGACGTGGCATAAGATGACGTAGCAGCAAATGGATTGGCAGCAGATGACGTCGCATATGACGTGGCAGCGGATACAGCCGGTGTTGAAGACAACATCACAGAGGGCCGCCCTTCCTTGACAACCCCTCGAACACCACCATCGTCCCCGAGCTGACCAGGAACCTGCCGGCCTAGACTTACCCCCCCCGCCGAGGGGGTGAAGGACGTGTGGCTACTACCCACACCTGCCTTTCCCAACGTCGGCCTTTGCACCCCCCCTCCATCCGCACCTTGGAAGAAGACTCCATTAGCCACGTGGCGGAAGCCTCCTGCTGTGGTGCTTGCCTCGACTGACAGTCTGACCTCCGGCTGAGCACTTGTCGTCTGCTGCCGGGATCTTGGCCATGAGTTCATCATCGTATGGGTGTTGTCTTGGAATCCCGATCGCCCGACCATCCCCGGCGCAAGTCCTGGCCGTTCATTCGTCGACTGGAAAAGACCTGTCGTCGTACGCTCGCTCTTCGACTCCCCTTTGGAGCTCATGAGCACACGAGAGCGGTTCTGGCACGCCTTCGCGGGCAGCCCTACCTTCTTACTGATACGTGTCCATCGTCCCTCCGACCCTGGGGGAACCTCCTGTAGTGCAGCGGACAATGCCGCGTCTCTCTCGATCGTCCATGCGGCCTGCCATTTCGGAACGCGATCAGGTCTCATCTCGTCTCGTCCTACCTGGCAGCCGCCGGCCGGCCGACAGAAAGACGAAAGCCGATATAGGCGCGATTACCAAGAAAGCAAGCTCAGAATTTCTTCATTAAATGTCTCTCACTTTTAGATCAGGCGACATTAACCATTCAAACACTGTCGGAATTGATAGCTAACAGTCAGTCGTAACGACAATCCTCCAACCAAATCTGTCTACAATCAATCAATCACTCAATCAATCAATAAATCAATAGATCAAGCAATCAACCGATCAATCAATCAATCAACCCATCAATCAATCAACCCATCAATCAATCAATCAACTGATCGATCAATCAATCAATCGATCGATCGATCGATCTATCAATCAATCAATCAATTAATCAACTAATCACTGAATCAATCAATCAATCAACCCATCTTCAATCGATCGATCGATCGATCAATCAATCAATCGATCGATCGATCGATCGATCAATCAATCAATCAATCAATTAATCAATTAATCACTGAATCAATCAATTAGTCCAACCATCGTTGGACGACTTCCTCTATAGATAACCCAACCCGATACCACGTGTTCTACAAGGACATCATCACAAGTAGAGACGGACGCTTGGCGCCCGGCTGACCGGCTGTCAAAGGCTGTCAAAGGCTGCAAAGCAGAGAGAAAAAGAATAGGCCTGGTGGCGGTCACCTTGAACTCACATGTAATCAAGAAACAGCCGGAAGCATATAGCCCGCCCTTCGATCAATACATCGAAAATTCACCCCATTTATTTCAATCCATTAACAAAAGGTGTCCGTTGAATGTCACATAGCGCAATTCGTTACCACCGAACCAGCCAATCGTACAACCTTATCTACTCGGAATCAATCACTCGTTCACCGACTCAAACTCGACAAGATCAAGCGACGCGAACTCGTCAATCAACAGACAAGCCAGCAGTCCGGTTAGCAGAGCAGCAGATCCGAGGCAACAAGCTGCTATGGCAGTCATCCAGCTGGCCCAGAAACGATGCTAAAAGAGGCCCCCTCGGCACCGGGCCCCGCCAAACTTACAACCAGCAAATCGATCGAACGTCGGACTGTACATCAATCAATCAATTGATCAAATGACCAACCAATCAATCAATTGATCAAATGACCACCCAATCAATCAACCCTCATAGAGCACTCAATTGAATGCCAAGTCCGTGACTGATGATCTAACTACTAGCGCATAATGACTCGTGACTCATGAACTAACCACTACCGTCTTTTCCCGAACATAACGCACCCTGAAAATGAACGCATACAAGATATGTTTCCGGCCCGATACAGTCAAAATGAGGACGCGTTGTAATCAGGGGAATACGGTAGCACATACTGACTCGCGACTGATGAACTAACTACTAGGACATACTGACTCGACTCGGTCAATCGAAATTGACCGGTCAATCAATCAATCAATCAACGGATCAACAAGGGAGTAGGTAATCCACGAGCTAATACTAGCATATCTTGACAATTGATCGCCTTGGCAATCGGCCGGCTGGCTGTCCACTAACGATGGACAACTGGCATCTAAATCGCCACGTAAGCAGGTCACACTGACCTCCTCGTCGACGCGCTGTCACCACGCATGCAAGTCTCACCGGTGGCTCCGTCTACCGCACCGAAACTCGTGTACTGAAATGAAAACCATCACGGTTGACATCAACATGCCATGCGCTCTCTTCCCAAGAAAGCCAAGAATGAAAACCATCACGGTTGACATCAACATGCCATGCGCTCTCTTCCCAAGAAAGCCAAGGAACAGTGCGCTTATGCGAATCGCCATCATATATATTCAACCTCGGCGTTACCGACCCGCACTTTGCGCATACTCACACTACCCGTACGAAATTTTCTCCTAAGCTCTGGCCGTGATTGCGGTCAGATTCGTCCAGGTCTGGAAGTCATTGCCGCCCGATACATCTTGAAAAGTCCGAGTGTGAGTATGGCATTTTGCAATGGCGGGATGAAACAAAAAGAAGACATGTCGGGGGGGGAGAAATAAAGAAGTTGGAAAAGAGGCGCGGCGATAACGGCCGCGTGATGAATTCGTCAGCCGGGGTGCAGGGCCTCGCCGCACTACTCACCAAATGTACAAAATGAGAACGAATCTTCCGTTAGAACATGGAAAGATGCATCGCCATCATTTTTTTATTTTGTGCATTTCGGGAGTAGTTTGGCCAGGCCCGCAGTCCCACTAGCAAACAGGATTGGATCAAATCTGGATTGACTCTACACACAGATCCTCTGCACCTCTCCGCAACACAAGCAGACTCAGGCGTTAAATCCACTCCCTTGCTGGTGAGACTGCCCCCTTGAGATTCAAATTTCGCCCTCCCGATTACTTGGCAATGGCGGGGGGAGAGTGTTGGCCATAGCCTCTGCTGCTACTCGATGAAGGGTGGGGGACGATGAGAAAGGGAGGCACAGCTACTGGCAGGTCTCGGTCTTTGTGTTAGCCAGACCCCCACTGGAGGCCCCAACCCTATACCCTAACCATTAGGGGCAAGGGGCWACATGAAATCTCCCCTTCACAGAGAGAGGAAAACTATGCTTGCAGGGGTCCCCTCTAGATAGTCTTAGGAGTAGGTAATGGAAGGCACAAGAAACAGAAGTTGAGAGAAGAGTGTAGAGAGAAAAGAAAGAGGAAAAAAATAAATAAATAAATAAATAAAAAATCAGGAGGGTGAAATTTGAATCTCAAGGGGGCAGTCCCACCAGCAAGAGAGTGGATTTAACGCCTCAGTCTGGTTGTGTTGCGGAGAGGTGCAGAGGATCTCTGTGTAGAGTCAATCCAGATTTGATCCAATCCCGTTTGCTAGTGGGACTGCGGGCCTCGCCAAACTAGTTGGTAAGAGCGTGAACAGCACCATGAGAAAAAAGGGTGGGCGGCGCTCCGACGGAAAGATGCACAGCGAGGAGCCGCTACGGCCCCGATCGATGGCAACCACACGACAGTGTCCTTGGCGGAAGGAGCGGAGACCATGTCCGCGTGGAACCGGATGTTTGGAGTAGGCATCAGGTGTGTAGTTACAGTAGATGCCGACAGCCACATACAAAGTGCGAACGTAAAGTACCACATGCATACAGCAACTCACCAAAGGACGAGAGATAGAGGGAGGGAGAGGAGAAAGGGGAGAGAGAGAGAGGGGGGGGAAAAGGGAAAGAGGAGAGAAGACCAGGAGGATGGAAAGTCAGCGAAGCGAGGAAAGGAGAAGAACGGTACGCAGTGAAAAGTCTCCCGACCGCGACTTTTTTCGAAGGATGTACAATGATGTTCAGGCGGTAGTGACCCGACTAGTTTTGGCCGGCCGCCACCGGCACTCGTCACGGCTCTTCTGATCGCGGAAGGTGTCTCACTATTCAATTGGCTACCTATTTGTACCCTGTGTACCGAGAATAGCAAGACTCATACACTGTAGATGAAGATCCACGATCGAGAAAAACAGGAGTCCGAAAATTGCCAGACTAAATATCAGAGCCTGCTACCGCACCGGGTTTCGAACCGCCAACATCTATCCGAAAAAACCTACAAGTCGCGTACGTCTCACAAAATTCATCGACATTCTCAAGACTGCCACAAAAAAATCTACCTACCTAGTACCTTCACTTTCAGGCCCGGTCCTGCAGAAGACGGGATTCATCCTACACTTGTTCTCGTACTCAACATACAACTGTTCCCGTACTACATACCGGACGCAATCCTTAGACCAACCGCGAGTTCAACATTGAAAACGAGAAAACCCAATCGTCATAAACCGGTACCGGTGGCATCACAAACCCAACCATACCACCAACAAAGGTACAGTCCGAACTCACTTCATCATCTTTGCCTGAAGCAGATGTCCCCATCCCGTAAGGACAGGGATCCAGGTATCCCAACATCCTGCAAACTTACGTGAGAAGTTTATTAAGGCTTTATCAAAGAACTCATCAGGATACCCCCGAATCCAAAGCTCATTCTTCAGAGTAAGCAGGAAATAGAACTCGAGACCAGAAACCGACGTGTAGGTTCTCGCACGATGGAGAAAGGAGCCAATGACAGCCACTTTCTGCTGCCGACTCGAATAAAAGACGTAGTCTTGGATACTTTGGAACAACAAAGACTGACCCATTGCTAACTTCTGATTCTTGTGTGTAGCGCGACATACTATGCGACACGGGTCATTCATGACCAAAACCTCACATCCAATAGACTCCCAACACTGACTGAAATTAGTCTGCTCCAGTACCAGCCTCTCATCATAACATGCACGAAAAAGTTCAAACAAATACTCAGCCTTTCCCTTCGAAGCCACGTCACCTAACCGAAATTTCACAAAGAGGGAGACATCATCAACAAGACGGCAGCCATGCACAAACGATGTATCATTGCCAATAGACGAAAGAAAAGAAAACTCATCATATGCACATAGGAGACAGGCTAAAGCAGGGCTGGTCGTTTTTCCCATAGGGATACCGACAGTCTGCCGAATTATTCGGCCAGACGCCACCACATATGTGTTATCCAGCTCGTACTCAACAAAGGTTAAGATAGAGTGCAGTTCCAAACGGATCCATCCATCTTCTCCTCTTCCACTAGTAAGTCTTGCCATCCTCCCAAACTTTCAAACCAGCACCCCTTCGGTGCCCTCACCCATCCAATAATCTAAAATCCATCGGAGCGATCGCAGAATAGACCGGTGTAGCAAATTTGAAAACATTTCTTTAATGTCGAACGATCCACCCAGCAGCGCATCACCCATCTTCACTTTGCCATTAATATAAGCAATCTTCCTCATCAGTTCATCAATTCGATGCAAATTGAAATGGAGATTGCCGGGAAGCTTCTATATCATGCAATTAATAGCACGTGCCACACGCCTCGCACCCAAGACGGAACCCTCAAAATGTGAGGTACTGCAAAAAAACAGATCCTCATACAGGCGTCTACACATAGCCAGGATTACCTCTTTCGAGTCCGTAGATTCCACAAATGACGGGTTATCCAAAAAAAGTTTCCTCA